AGGGGAAAGAATTAGCTAGAGAACCACCTCAAAATATGAAGCAGCTCTGCCCAGATCTTTGTCTACTGTTTAAATTGTCTTGACAGCACATGGGAATAACCAGGGAGTTTTTAATAAAATAAAATGCAAGGGGTGTTGGGGAGGGAAACCAGAGACTCTGATTTAATTGGCCATGGGTTGGGCCAATGAATTATATTTTCTGAAAGTTCCAATGGTGACTCCAAAATATGCAGCCAAGGTTGAGAACCACTGGTCTACACAAGAATTCATTTAGACCAAAGAGGCAGAAGGAGATAAAATGGAATGTATATATTTCAGAATAATAAAAGAATTTTAGAAATTTTTCAAAATAAACATTTATTAGCCCACTGATGTTTTGGTCTGATTTCACGCCCCTCCCCCCAAGGCCTGAGGTAGTCCTATAAATATTCTTATTCTAACGTAACTCAAATACTATAGAATTTGTTCTTTTAAAGTATACAATTCAGTGGTTCTTAACATATTCATCAGACTGTGTAATCATTACCAGTATTTACCTTGAGAACATTTTCTTCAACCTAAAAACAAACCCCCAATAGTCACTTCTCATTTCTCCTTCCCCAAGCCTGTGACAACCACTAATCTACCTGCAGTCTCACTGATTTCATCTGTTATAGACATTTAAAATAAATGAAATCATACAATATATGAACTTTGTGATGGATTTCTTTCACTTACCATAGTGTTTTTAAAGTTTATCTATGATATAGCATGTATCAGTACTTCATTCCTTTTCCTGGCCAAATAATATTCCATCACATGGATATACCAAATTTGTTTATCCATTCATCCATTGATGGAAACTTGGGTCATGTCCACATTTTGCCTATAATGAATATTACTACTATGAACATTTGTGCACCAGTTTTTATGAAGATATATGTTTTCATTTCTCTTGGTATTTACCTAGGTATGAAATTGATTTCTGGGCCATATGGTAACTTTATTATGTTTAACTTTTTGAGAAACTGTCAAATGATTTCCAAAGTGCCTATACCATTTTACTGTGTATGAGTTCCAATTTCTCCGTATCCTGTCCAACACTTGTTTGTTGTCTATCTTTCTTAATTATAGTCATCCTAGTGTGTGTGATGACTGGTGCATGAGTGGTTCAGTGGTAGAATTCTCACCTGCCACATGGGAGGCCCAGATTCAATTTCCAGTCCATGAAGCCACAGCGTCCCCTTTGGGGCTTCCCTGGTAGCTAAGCTGGTAAAGAATCCACCTGCAATGCAGGAGACCCTGGTTCTATTCCTGGGTTGGGAAGATCCACTGGAGAAGGGATAGGCTACCCACTCCAGTATTCTTGGGCTTCCCTGGTAGCTCAGCTGATAAAGAATCCGCCTGCAATGTGGGAGACCAGGGTTTGATCCCTGGGCTGGGAAGATCACCTGGAGAATGGAATGGCCACCCACTCCAGTATTCTGGCCTGGAGAATTTCATGGACTATATAATCAATGGGGTTGCAGAGTCAAACATGACTGAGCAACTTTCACTTTCAGTGTGGGTGAAGTAATATCTTGAGGTTTTGATTTGTATTTTATCAATAATTAATACTGTGGAGCATTTTTTAATCTGCTTATTGGCCACTTGTATATCTTCTTTGGAGAAATGTCTATTCAAATCCTTCACCCATCTTTAAATTGAATTATTCATTTTTTTATTGTTGCATTGGAAGGGTTCATTATATATTCTGAGCATTAGATCCTCAATAAATATATTATTTGCAAATATTTTCTTCTATTCTTTGGATTGTCTTTTCACTTTCTTGATAGTGTACTTTGAAGCACAAAAATTTTTAATTTTGATGAAGTCAATTTATTCTTTTTTTCTTTCATTGCTGATGCTTTAGGTATCATATATAAGAAAGCATTGACTAATCTCAGATCATGAGATTTACAAGTTTTCATCTAAGTTTTTTTTATAGTTTAGGCTCTTATATCTAAGTCAATGATCCATTTTGAGTTAACTTCAGTATATGCTGGGAGGTAAGGGTCCAACTTTATTCTTTTGCATGTGGATATCTAGTTGTCTTGACACCATTTATTAGAAAGATGGTTTTCCCTGAATAAATTATCTTGGTACCCGTATTAAAAAATGATAGTCATGTATTTTTTTAGTTTTACCTCTGCTCACCTGGAAGAAATTTATATATTCTGTCAGTTGATCAGAAGCTCTTAGTCCAATTGTCCACATCCACACGTCACTGGGCCCAGTGCTCAATAGTTGTGACTTTCAAGTGCCAGTTCCCACTGGGTCCTTAACAAATACTTTTTGATAAACTTAAGGTTAATCAATTGCATAAACATAGCATAATTTGTTTCTGATCAAGTTGATTGGTCTGATTCAAGCGGCTCTCTCCAATCAGCCAGAAGGACCAAACTAACCTGTAAAAGTCAACAGTCTTAGATTTGGAGCAGTGAAAGAATCTTTGGGATGATAGTTGCCTATAAAGTGGGACTATGATTTTGTCTGTTCCTCTCTCCTGTGTGACTCATGGTTAAATCCTGATTTATCCTAAGATAATCATAGTGATTTTCAGTCTCTACGAAATAGGTTGACTTAGGAAAAAATATTTGATCCACTTCTGTCAAATGGGGCTTCTGAAAAAATTTTCGCGTATGAAGAGAATGGGTCCTTCTCCTTCCCGTGGCTGTGGCCTTGCTTGCCTGGAATGTGGCAGCCATCTTATAACTATGAGGGAGCTAAACAGGACAAAGTATGACAGAGCAGAACTGTGAGAGGAATCTTAGTCTTTAATGACATTTCTTGAACCCCTGAGCCCACCTGGGAGCTTTCCTACCCTGGGACTTCTCTTGATCTGAGACAATATATTTCTTCATTGTTTTAAGCAATTGGGTCAGGGTGCTTTGTTACTTGTATTCAGATCATTCTAACCAACACAGACCTCATGACTTTTTACAGAAAATGCCCTTAAACTGCAAAACTTTAAGGGGACTATAAAACTGAGCACAGTGACCCAGGGACTTGACATTCTCCAAGGGGAGTTCCCAAACTCAGCCTCATATGAGCTTCCTTGAGATCTACAAGGAGACCTACTCTCTAGGCTAACAATGACGGAAAAATTATGCACAAAGGCTGAACTTCATCCCAGCACTGAGTCCCTGGCTTCCTCAGGGAGGGCAGCTCATCTCTACTGCTTTACTGAAAAAGGAATAGAATTTTGGCATTAATGTATTTAATATATCCTTAGCCTCTAAAACTGTTGGTTATAAAGAAGTGGGCTTCCCTGGTAGCTCTGTGGTAAAGAACCTGCCTGCCAATGCAGGAGACGTGTGTTCAATCCCTGGTTCGGGAAAATCCCATGGACAGAGGATGCTAACAGGCTATAGTTCATGGGGATGCAAAAGAGTCGGACATGAAGGAGAAACTAAACAACAACAAAGGGAGTGCTTTTACATTCTAAGTGGAATAATGAAATCTCAACATCTTAGGATTGGGAAGGCGACAGGAGAAGCTATACATACGGAGACTCCTCCTTGATAGTAGTCCTCCTCCAGCCAGGGATGCTCGCCACCCTAATAAGAAGGAAATTTCAGTTGTATATTGAAACCAGCACATACGGGATTTGAGAGCTTCCTGACTCTTCCCAAATCCACAGTCAGGGATGTCACATTGGTAGCTTAAAAATCACTGAATATTTATAGCCTGGAAATCAGCAAGGACCTTTCTCTTTCTGGAGAATCAAGTGTTCAATGCTACCAGCACACCACTGGAAATTCCTCTCTTGGTCCTCCAGGGGCTTAGAGATTCCTTTATACAAGCAAGGTATCGTAATATCTCCCAAACTTCATGACTATAAATCAAAGAAGAGAAAGACCCCACTGTCCCTCCCTGAAGATGACTAACTGCTGAAATATGATAGGAAAATTCAATCAGTTGCTCTACAAACTGAGTCATAGCCTCCTATCTCAAAATTTCCTTCTAAGGCCAGGCTGTTCAGACTTTCGTTTTATGGTTTTTGTTTTTATTTTTAACACAACTTTGATTCTCCCTAATAGTCTAATTGCCAGCATTTTCATTTATTTTTTTTTTTAATTGCTGTTCTCTCAGAGTGTAGGTTTACAGCAAGGCTGCTGTGTGGTAGCTATTCCATTGCAAGCAAGGGCAAAGCCACAGCTAATGATAAGGTCTTACTGTGGAACTGCTGAGGTCACCCATTTGAGCCCATCTGTGGTCTCTGGGAGATGAGTCTATGCGTGGCTCCCTGGTGACTGAGGGTACCTCTGTAGACTTATCCCTCTGGCCACCTCTCCTCCCATCTCCTTCCATCTCTGTTATCCCATATCCATCCCCAGCCAGGCTCTATAAGGCTCTTCTTTCTCCCACTCTCTTTCCAATTACAGGTTTGGGAAAGTGGGCCAAATTCATTGTCAACATAAGTCATCCCCACTGGAGCCTAAAGTTGAAGATAATTTGTTTTGAATTATGGGATATTTCAGATATACAGAAAGGTATAGAGTATTATGTGTGTTAGTCACTCAGTAGTGTCTGACTCTTTGCAACCCCATGGACTGTAGCCTGCTATGTTCCTCTGTCCACGGAATTTTCCAGGCAAGTGGGTTGCCATTCCTTTCTCCAGAAGAGTATTGTAAGCACTCTTAAACTTCTACCCAGCTTATGAAATAAAGCTATATAAACACTGTTAAAGTGTCTGCATGTGCCTCTCTGATCATATTGCCCTATCTCCAAGAGAGAAACACCTTCCTGAAATTGAGACAATTATTCCAGTGCCTGTCTTTATACGTTCGCTATACATGTCTATATGTAAGCCTAAAAACAGTATACAAAATTGGTTTGTGTTCTTTTAAGCTTTATGCAAATGGTATCATATCTATTGTATGTCTCTTTCTGAAACTTGCTTTATATCTATTATGATTTTATCCATGTTTGTATTAATTTTTTATTTTTCCTGTGCCACACATCTTGTAGGATCTCAGTTCCCCAACCAGGGATTGAACCTGGGCCATGGCAATGAAAGCACTGAATCCTAACCACTGGACCATCAGGGAACTCTCTGTATTATTTCTCTATTGCTGTGTAACAAACTACCCCAAATGTAATAGCTTAAAACAGCACTCATTATCTCATAGTTTCTATGGACTCAGAGTCCAGACATAGCTTAACTGGGTTAACAGGGTTTCATGAGGTTGCAGTTAAGGTGTTGACTATGCTGCATTCTCATTTGAAGGCCTGACTGGAGAAGAATCTGCTTCTAAGCTCATTCTGTTTTTGGCATAATTCTTTTCCTTGAGTTCATGTGGTTGAGAGCCCTGGATTTTTTAGAGGACATCCACTTCCCTGCCATGTGGCCCTCTCCCTAGGCAGGTCACCTTATAGCAGCTGGCTTCTTTACAAGGTCAGCAAATCTCTCGCTCTAGTCTGCTAAAATGGAATCATATAATGTATAAGATTTCTCTTGTTGATTTTGCCATAGTGCTTTGATTGGAATCAAGGTACAGGTTCTGCCTGCCTTCCAGGGGAGGGGGCTACACAAAGATGTGGACACCAGTACTTGGGGATTATTGGGACCTAGTCTGCCTAGGATCTATCTGCCACAATGTTGATACATGTTACTCTGGTCCACTTATTTCTGTTGTTGCCTGCATTATATGAATACACAACAAAAATCTACCCATTTTGCTGTTAATGATTAGATGATTAGGGTAATTCCAATTACTTGCAGTTATAAATAATGCTATGCTTAATAATCTTTACAGGTCTCTTCTGTACATGGGAAAAAGTTTTAGACCCTGAAGCACATGTCTTCAACTTTACTAAATATGGCTAAATTATTCTCTAGAATAGTTATACCTATTTCTATTCTACCCAGGAGTATATGACTCTCCTACTCTTGAAATAGAATTACTTCAATTTTTTACATTATGGGCAACCTGGCATGAGTGAAATAGTGTCTGCTGGATCTATTTATTATTTTCTTAATCAATACTAAGGTTGAGTATTTTTTTCTGTGGTTTTTTTTTTCCAGTTGTTGTTTGTTTCTGCTTCTGGGAACTGTCCTGGATTTTGTGTATTTTCTTATTGATTTGTAGTCCTTTATTTATCCTAGATCTTAATTCTTGGCATTATTGCACTAATGCTATTTTCTTCTTATTTGTGCTTCTCTTTTAACTATTTTTCCTGGTATTTTTATGTGCAGAAGGTTTTCATTTTAATTTATTCAAATTTATCAGCCTTTCCCTTTATGATTTGTTGTTTAATGACTTAAGAACTATTTCCCTATCTTGAGGTAAATAAATAGGCACCTATATGTTCCTATAAAGGTATCAAGGTTTTGCTTAACACATTTAGATTTATATCAGTAGTATACCCAGAATTTATTTTTTTCCCAGGGTAAAAGAAAAAATCCAATTTTATTTTCTTTTTATATGTAGATACCTAGTTGTTTTAAAATCATTTATTTAATAGGCCACATTAGCCCTTCTAATATGCTATGTCAACTCTAATTTATCAAGGTCTCTTATGTTTGTGGGTTTGCCTCTCAGTTCTCTGTTCTGTTTCCTTGATTTATTTGTTTATTCCTATACCAATATTCTCTGCCTTAATTATTATAATTTTATGTTTTAATATCCAATCAGGCATTCCCTACCATCTCATTCTTCTCTTCAAAAAAAAAAAAAAAACAGTCTATATAAGACCTTTGTTGTTTCATATAAACTTAGATTCAGAAGGTCAAGTTCCATGAAAAGGCTTGCTGGGATTTGATTGGGGTAGTCTTCAATTTGTAGACTGATTTAAAGAAAGTTATAAGCTGAAAATTTTCCTTTTAAATTTTATGTGTTCAATTGTTTACACACAGTACCTCCAATGTGTATTTGGAGATAGATTCTTTAAAGAGGTAAAGTTAAATATAGGTAGGTCATAGGTAGACCCTAACCCAGTGTGACTGGTATCCTTCTAAGAGGAGGAGATTATGACACAGACATCATGACCATATGAAGACACAGAGAAAAAATGACCGTCTGCTAGCCCAGGAGAGAGGTCTCAGAAGAAACCAGGCCTGTTGACAACTTGATCTGTTCTAGTCTCCAGAACTATAAAAAAAAAAAAAATTTCTGTTGTTTAAGCCACCCAGTCTATGGTATTGTTATAGTAACCTTAACAAACTAATACAGGGAATTTTGAAAGAATCACAACCCTGAGTTTTCCTGTCTACAGAGATAAGCCCTCTCACCATTTATCTGGATCTTCCTTAAGAAAGTTTTACAATTTTCTCCATAGTGATCTTATAGATCTTTTATTAGATTCACTCTAAGGTACTTCATATTTTTTTATTCTCTCTTAATTCCAGTAGTTTTTCCATAGATTTTTACAGGTTTTATGTAAATATTCATATCATGTATTAATAAATAATGACCATTTAACATCCTTCTTTCCTGCCCTTATAATTTTTTATATCACTGAACAGAAGCACTGAAAGCTGGCGTCCTTGTGTTGATTTTGATCTTCAAGGTGTTGCTTCTCCAATTGCAAGGATACACTGAACATTTTTATGAAGGAGTTTTGCTACCCAACATCCTGTAACACAAGCTTGATAAATCCCTCTCCTGCCCCCTCTTTCTCTAGCCCCTTCTCACTCTTCTTCCTTCAGTACAACCTATCTGTTCTGAGCTTTGCGTCTTAAAAATAAAGTGAAGTCGTGTGGAGATTCACACTGAGATGCTGATGGCTGATTATCGATCGGATGGCACATTCACATTTTAAGACAAAAGTCTAGGTCCAAGGAACAAATGTGACTGTTGGGGCCTGAGTGTTCATCTTCTCAGATCCTGACAGTCATGGGAAACACAGCCCCCTTTCCAGCTTCCTTTTAAAAATACCACTTCTCAGACTTCCCTGGGGGTACAGTGGATAGGAACCCGCCTGCCAATCCAGAGGACACGGGTCTGATCCCTGATCCAGGAAGATTCCACAAGCCTCGGAGCAACTAAGCCTATTTGCCACAGCTACTGAGGCCCACACCCTTGAACCCGTGTTCCCCAACAAGAGAAGCCACAAGAATGAGAAGCTTGTGCACCACGACCAAGAATAGCCCCAGCTCGCCGCAACTAGAGAAAGCGGGTGAAGCAATGAAGACCCAGTGCGACCCAAAATAAAATAAATAAGTAAGTAATTTTTAAAAATAACACTTCTCTCTGGGCATCCAGATTCATGCTAACTCAGATGAAACCAGGAGAAATCCCAAAGGATGAGGGCTTGCTGTGTCCCCTTATTTTAATCAAACTACCCAGGTTCACACTCCACTTGCTTAAATGGTCTTGGGCAAAGCACTTCCTCTCTCCTGCCCCAGCTGTTTGACTTCTCAGATGGGAATCACAGTAGCACTTCATCACGCTTACCTAGTAAGTCGCTTCGGTGGTGTCCGACTCTGTGCAACCCCATGAACTGCAGCCCGCCAGGCTCCTCTGTTCATGGGATTCTCCAGGCAAGAATACTGGAGTGGGTTGTGGTGCCCTCCTCCAGGGGATCTTCCCAACCCAGGATCAAACCTGCATCTAATATGTCTAACCTGAATTGACAGGTGGGTTTTTTACCATTAGCACCACCTGGAAAATCCCTAGCACCTTCTCACAATGAGGGTGGGGGGGTGGGGTAAATGAATCATTGATGTAACTTATTGGGAATAGTGGCTAGCATACAGTAAACACTCAATAAACACTAGCTAAGCCAAGGGGACAGCCACCTTTGCACTGCCATTCAGTTGCTTAGTGGGTTTGTTTGTTTTTTTTTCTTTTTTCATAAAAATCTCAAAATATGGTGTCTAAGTGTTACCCCATCGCCTCTGTTCCACCCTGTGGCGTGGCACAGAACACAACTCTAGTTCACTTGTTAAAGTTTATCCAACCCTGCCTGGTAGCAACTATATTACTACTCTCCTTGCCTTTTCTTCTAGTATTTAGGGTTGAATGCCACTGGCTTTCAAGCTAGCTTTCCACAATGAATGAAATACTAAGCAAGAAGCAAGCAATCCCGGAAGGACCAAACCAAACCTGACCATAGAGATGCTGGCTCACTGGCAGAACTCTGGACAGAGCCGGTTTGCAGCCGCATCTCCAAGAAACTCGAGTGCTGTGCTGGGGTTAGTAGGGCTGGTGAGCTTGATGACATTCATGCCAAGGTCACAAGGAGTGGGGGTGGGAATAGTGAGTGACAGGCCTCATTTCTTTTCAGTAATGCCCATTAATCAAAGAAAATGTTACATACCGAGATATAGGGAAGTCATTCTGGCTTACACATGAGTTAACTTGAAGTTTACACTAACTAAAACAGCCTGTTTGTGGCCTATGAAACATACATCTGCCTTAATTACTAAAGAAAAGGGCACATTGACCAGGAATAAAGAATGTCTGCTAAAAATCCAGATTAAATGCCCCTCTTCCTGATGCTGCTTCTTCTTCAGTGATAAGACATCCCTCGCAGGCACCAAGGCCATACTGTACGTGCTGGCATGTTTTTCTGAAATCTGGAAGAAATGTATCCCTGGCTTTAATATTCTTAGCCCTGCCAAGACATAAAGCTGTGCTGAATGGGGAGGGAGGTGGGAGGGGGGTTCAGGATAGGGAACACATGTACACCCATGGCTGATTCATGTCAATGTATGGCAAAAACCACTACAATAATGTAAAGTAATCAGCCTCCAATTAAAATTAATTAATTAAAAAAAAAAAGCTGGGCTGAAAACCCTGCTTCTCAGGCCAATCACTCGTGTCCGACTCTTTGTGACTCCAGGGACTGCAGCCCACCAGGCTCTTCTGTCCTTGGAATTTCCCAGGCAAGAGTACTGGAGTGGGTTGCCATTTCCTTCTCCAATGTTTAAGTGCACACACCCTCAATTAGTTGCTATAAAGGAGAAAGTTAAATCATTAAACAAATGCAACTGTGTCCACTAGATAAGATGTTTTGCATCCAATGATGAAGGATCGGGTGTTACTGTCATTCTCAGTGGTAGCCAGCATGTATTGAGGAACTAAGCCAGGTCCCACAGTGAGCA